ACAAGGGGCGCAGTCCTGTCGACCTGCAGCTGGAGTGGGTTCTGGGGAAGATGCCGCAGAAGGAGTTTAAGATGGAGCATCTGGTCCCAACCCATCAGCCACTGGCTCTTCCTGCTGGTTTGAAAGTCAAAGATGCACTGGACAGAGTTTTACGTTTGCCTGCTGTGGCGTCCAAACGCTACCTGACCAACAAGGTGTGTGTGTGTGTGTGTGTGTGTGTGTGTGTGTGTGTGTGTGTGTGTGTGTGTGTGTGTGTGTGTGTGTGTGTGTGGTGTGTGTGTGTGTGTGTGTGTGTGTGTGTGTGTGTGTGTGTGTGTGTGTGTGTGTGTGTGTGTGTGTGTGTGTGTGTTACATTCCTGTCTTACACAGTTTCCATCTTTGCAGTACATTTGTAAAGACACTTTGTGACTTTCCACGTCTTCGCTCCATCCCTCTCTTAGGTGGACCGCTCTGTGACTGGGTTAGTTGCCCAGCAACAGTGCGTCGGCCCTCTTCACACCCCACTGGCCGACGTGGCAGTTGTTGCACTGTCACCGTTCAGTCTAGAGGGAGCAGCGACTGCCGTCGGGGAGCAACCAATTAAAGGCCTGGTCTGTCCTGCAGCGGGGGCTCGCATGGCTGTTGGAGAGGCTCTGACCAATTTAGTGTTTGCCAGAGTCACAGCTCTGAAGGTGAGCGGATAGTGGAGAGTGTGATCATCACAACTCTGTAGACCTGCTCTTAGAATTGGTATTACAGATTACAATTTTATTTCTTTAAAATAAATGATTTTGATAAATCTCTTGGTCATGTGTTTCAGGATGTGAAGTGTAGTGGGAACTGGATGTGGGCTGCCAAGCTGCCCGGTGAGGGAGTCTGTCTGTGGGAGGCCTGCAAAGCCATGTGTGAGCTCATGGGTCAGCTCGGGGTGGCCATCGATGGGGGCAAGGACTCTCTAAGTATGGCAGCTAGAGTGGGGAAAGAGACGGTCAAAGCTCCAGGTACTCTCATTGTGTGTGTGTCTGTCTGTCTGTCTGTCTGTCTGTAAAGGTGTTTGTGTATCTTTCCTAATTAAACTTTAAAATGAAGCTTTCCTGCTGCTTCTGTTTCAGGTGCCCTGGTTATTTCTGCATATGCTGTTTGTCCTGACATCACAGCCACTGTGACGCCTGACCTCGAGGATCCAGATGGCAAAGGTATTTCACACACACACACACACACACACACACACACACACACACACACACACACACACACACACACACACACACACACACACACACACACACACACAAAGACTCCAATCAGATTGCTCATTTTTCATAGTTTTGTTCTCAGTTTGTAATCACAGAAATAGGACTTTGGAATACATATATTTTAATCTCACCCAGACCACACATCTTTCTCTCTCTCTCTCTCTAAAACAAACAAAAAAAACCCACACACGCGCGCTCCTCTGACCCTTTGTCCTCTGTCTGCAGGCATTTTGTTGTGGGTTCCTCTCAGTCCAGGCCGCCATCGCCTGGGAGGCTCTGCCCTGGCTCAGTGCTACAGCCAGCTGGGAGACTGCTCTCCTGACCTGGACCAGCCAGAACTATTGACTGCCTGCTTCAACATCACACAGACACTTATTCACGGTCAGATTGGACTCACAGGCAAAGAGCTACCTGCCGGGCAAGAGAATAAAAAGTTTAGCGTTGTTTACTGTGGTTCAGTCAGGGAGCAAACTTTTCTTTAGCTTTCTTTTCATACTCAGTTTATTCTCTAATTGTAAGGCAACTACTTTGTATTGTAATACACAGCCACCTAGTGGTTTTACTGTGTATTTTTAAGTTGATAAGAAGTAGGGATAGGTCATGATTTTTGATTCACTGTATTATAAAAAATAAACTTAAACACTATATCACCCCATGTATATACTAGCGCCTAATAGTAACACATCACTACCAGGCATCGGTAATGTGTGTGTGTGTGTGCCACATTCAGTTTGGCTTCAGCCCTCTGAGATGGGCTAGATGCTCAGCTTTCAGCCTAATAGTGTTTGTTGTGTATTGTGTTTGCTGCTGCAGAGGAAATAAAGTTCCTGCACAATTTTCCAAGAATGGTCGAAATTCCCATTCCTAATAAAAAGCAGCAGGACCTGGAGACTCAATCATTTTTGTGACATTTTATTACCTGCTGACAAACTTTTTATTTTAAATGGTTATATTTCTAGTCAGTAAATCAGTTAGAATTATATTGTAAAGTAGATTGTAAGTGAATTATCTTTGAAAACTGGAAGATGGGTGAGAAGAGACCGACATTTGGAGTCTTTTCTGTTCCTTCAGATCGTCTGCTGAGTGCAGGACATGATATCAGCGATGGAGGCATCATTTCCTGCTTGCTAGAAATGGCGTTTGCAGGAAACCGTGGAATTGTTGTTGAGTTGTCATCACAAGGAGCTGGAGGTTAGTGAGCTGATGCGTCTCTTGGTTTGGTTTCAGCCACTATTCACACATACAGGACACAAACTGTGTAGCTATAATCATAATCTCATGCAGTGTTTTGCCACATCTGTCTGCACAGTCATGGAGCTGCTGTTCAGTGAGGAGCTGGGTTTGGTTCTGGAGGTTTCGCAGCTCCATGTAGAAACAGTGTGCCAGCGATACAGCGACGTAGGCGTGCAGTGCCATTGTGTCGGCAGAACCTGCGACTTCGGGCCAGAGGCTATGGTAAAGCATCAACCTCAACATGCATCTCAAGTGATTAAATATCACCTGTGGTGACCGTTGTTTTCTGTTTCCCTCACTTTCAGGTCAGTATTCGTGTGGATGGACAGGAAGTACTGAGAGATTCGCTGCCTAACCTCAGAACATTATGGGAGGACACCAGTTTCCAGCTGGAGTACCTCCAGGCCAATGAAATCTGTGTTAAACAGGAAGAGGAAGGGCTTGCCAAGAGGACACAGCCTTATTTCAAATTGACTTTTGATGCCTCTGCATCGCCCACCAGCAGCCAGCTAAGTAAGACCAAACAGGATTGGTACCTGCTATGCTATTTTCATTACCAAGTAATCCTTCATGTATTCTTTGATGATTACCCTAATCATTTGGTCTATAAAACGTTAGAAATAATAATATAAGCTCTTCACAATTTGTCAGAACATGTGCCAGTTAACATTTGTCTTACCAACATGAAAAAACAAAAGTATTCAGTGCAGTGATATGAAAATCATCATCATTATTGAGTTGTTATAACCACTGAGTGCTTGATATTTTTATTTTAATCTCTCTAATGTGTGTTATTCTTTCAGCTGCAGGGCAACCTCGTGTAGCTGTGGTCAGGGAAGAGGGCAGTAATGGAGACCGAGAGATGTCGGTGTCTCTGCATATGGCCGGCTTTGAGGTAACCAATTAGTGCTTTATTAACTGGATATACGGTATGTTGACAATAGCTGGTGTGCATGACTCTTGTCTATATTTATGTATAATTGTGTGTAGGTGTGGGATGTCACCATGCAGGATCTGTGCTCTGGCTCCCTGACTCTAGACTCTTTCAAAGCAGTCGTGTTTGTTGGTGGATTCAGCTACGCAGACGTTCTGGGATCAGCTAAAGGCAAATAAACACACACGCATAGGCCGCTTTGATATACAAATTGTTTTTGTGTAACACCATGTATCCTTCATAATAGGTTGGGCTGCTACTGTTGCATATAACCCCAAGGCCAAGGCTGAGTTTGATCGCTACCGGCGCCGGCACGACACACTGAGTCTGGGTGTGTGTAATGGCTGCCAGCTGCTCGCCCTGCTGGGCTGGGTGGGAGAGGGCGAGGATGGAGCAGGTAAGAGAGAAAAGACACAAAAAGCCATGTTGCCTGTAATAGTAATAAAAGGGAAAAACAATACTCAACAGTGAATTTAGACCATGTAACAGCAATAGGTCCCTTTGCAGTTAAGTTTAAAATGTTACTTTTCCCTCAGAAACCAACGTGGTTCTGACCCATAATAAGTCCGGCAGATTTGAGTCTCGTTTCATCAGCGTTGGGATCCAGGAGTCCCCGTCCATCTGGCTCAAAGGCATGGAGGGCTCAGCTCTGGGAGTCTGGGTGGCACATGGAGAAGGTAAAGTATTATAGAGTCAATCAGGTACAGTAGTAGTCCTTAACTTGACACCTGAGTGGCTGTTGCTGAATAGAGCAGCAACAGGTTACTCAGTGTGGACATTTTGAATTTGCACAACGACGACTCGTTCTGCTGACTCATAAGTCACAAGGTCAGCATGTTCTGTTATCTGCAGCTGTGTTTAATATTGATTTTCCTGCAAACCTCTTTCCTTTTGCAGGTCTGATGCAATTCCGTAGCTCACAGGCCCAGGACCAGATTATTTCTGGTGGGCTCGCCCCCCTCCGTTATCTTGACGACCAGGGTCATCCCACTGAAGACTACCCTCTGAACCCTAACGGCTCCCCGCTGGGCATCGCAGGGCTCTGCTCCAGGGACGGGAGACACTTGGCCATGATGCCCCACCCGGAGCGCTGCACCCTGGGCTGGCAGTGGCCCTGGGCTCCGAAGGACTTGAGACCTTCTCTCACACCTTCACCCTGGCTACGCATGTTCAACAACGCAGCTGCCTGGTGCAGCAACACAGAGTGAGAATGCTCCGTTTATGTTTCTGAAGCTGTCAAAGTAGTATTATTGTCTTTGTTGGATAGTGTGTCAACTGAAACTGTGAGGCCTGTTTCATTACTTTGTTTCGTTACACAATACACCGTTTTTACTTACTGTGGTACTTGGTCTTTTTGCATTATTACCGATGCCTGCTGTAATACTTTATGATTTTGAGACTTGTGGATTCCTGTTGACTTTGTATACAGTTCCTTCTTGCAAACACTGTATATTTGACAAAGCTGTTATGAACCAGTCAGGTCTGCTGACATCAGTGTTGCTCTCCTGAAACTTGAGAAATGAAATTTGCTAATAAATAAATGAATAAAACAAAAGCATGTGTAGTAGTAGTGTGTTGTTTGAAAAAGAAATGCCACATAAGACAATAAATATTCTTTATTTTACACATAAAAACTAATTCATACAATATCAACTATTTACATAGATGTCAATATAACAGTACTGACGTGACCGCTTATGTTGAGCTTGCAGATAGAAAGTGGTAAAAAGGATTAAAAAACATTACCATTTTTTTCTTTCTAAAGATGCAAAAAATGGATTATGATTAAAATATAAAGGATCAAATTGCAATTTTAAATTGACGCTGAATATTTTGCTCCCAGCCACAAGCACTTTAGGCCTCAAGAACTTAAGGAATGAGGATTTGTGACTGCAGCTGAACCAGCACACTGCATGGCATTGTATTTTAGATAAGAGTACTCTGTAAACACTTGACAAACCGTCTGAGAGGCTCAGATGCCGTCTAACATCTCAACCGTTGCATGTTACGCTGTTGTCAATATGTTTGCGTCCACTAATCCAACTAGCTTCAGCCAGAAGGAAAAAAAATCCAATGAAAGTCCATGTCAAACAGCTTGTACTGATGCTCTCCAGCAGCATCTGTCTACAGTGAACTCCCAATTACTCCTTGTGGGGTTGTAGCATGTGTTGAGTGTTCTCTACTCTCTGGTGCCATTCGCTGGTTAATGTTGATGACACAGATAAGGAGCAGGATGACCACCACGAGGTCATCCAGGACCCCCAGCAGTCCACAGAGGGAGGAGTCTGCCTCCAAGGGGTTTCCTGATGAGGAGACAGGGGCAAGAGGAGGGGAGGAAATGGACACCACAGTCCCCACGCAGCACAGGGCCACTCTGAAGAAAAACAGCCACACGAGTCCTCCCATGGTGCCCAGGCCTCGGGCCAGTAACTGCAGGAGGAGGGGTGCGTCACACAGGTAATCCATTACCTGGAAGGGTCAGTATGCAGAAGATAAGACAGGTCGGAGAGGAAAACATACAAAATGGTTCTAGATATGAACATGGTTCTTACATGATAATATTAAAAGAGCAGAAGGGATTATCTGATTTTTGTAGATACAGCACATATACAGTGTCACTAAAGATTTCCCTTTATAAGTTCCTGTATTTAGCTGTATATAATGATGTGTCTCCCTTAAAAGTTTTCTATTTCAACTCAACTTTAACTTGAGTATTTAGATATATAGTATAAGGAAAACTACTCTGGATTTTCTAATAAGGCTTATTATTAAATATAATATTAAGGCTTAAAAAGGGTTGAGTAAAGGATGTGTGGTGCTGTTAGATGTTATGTATGAAGGTTAGATAGAGTACTGACCCTTCGCGGGGTTCCAGAATAGCGTTTGTTGTAGTCTGTGATTTCCCCAAGAACTTCCTTTGACTGGTCCGATCGACTCTCGTTAAATAGATTACACAACACACTGACCTGGAAAATCAGGCACATTTTATTCCATGTTCACACTGATTCTAAACTGAATGTTCTCACCGTGTATTCATGAGGACCGTGCACACTGTACCTTCTGTCTGCAGAGAGGGCAGCTGATTGCATCCAACCAGGACCCATGTCTCCAGTAGGCGATCAGACAGGGAGCTGCAGAATCAAACACATCAATCAAAACTTTCTTATCAAGCATTCAACAGCTTATAGCATAATGCACCTGCAGTGTTGCCATCAGATTATTCGATTTGGAATTTGATTAAAAACTACAGTTTTTTGGAAGTAAATTCATATTTTGTGTGTGCCTAATATTTTATTAAAAATCACCCACTGGCTGTCCAGTTTATTGAAATAATTAACAATAAGACACAGGCATGTGGGGCAGGTAGAGTGGTTCCTGTGTTGGGTGTCTGCAGTTTTATAAAGTAAAGGTGAGAGCTGAAATAGAAATATCTTTGTAATCTGTGACAGATAATATCAAGGTTAAAGAGGTTTTCATCTGTGCCATGAACATATGCAGTTGGTTGGAGACATGCCTTCTTAAAACCAAAACCTGAAGAGACTTTATGAACACTTTTACAACTTACAGCAGACTACTGTAATGGCCTTCTCTCAGGTTGCACTTTAATTGACCTGGTTCACTTGCTTGTCTAGAAGCACTGAAAGCCCTTGTTCCACACTATATTTTAGATCAACTTAAAAGCCATGAGCCTTCCAGACCTCTCAGGTCACGTGGTACTGCTCTCCTTACTGTACCGATTGTCAATTATAAAGTCTGGTGAAGTTGCCTTTAGTTTTTATGCTCCTAGTTGCTAGAACAGTATGTTTAGACACCCATCTTAATTTTTTTTTCTTAAAACTTTTTTCTGCCGCCGTTCAGAAATGATTACTTCATCTTATAGTTGCGTTTACGTCATTTAATAATAATTCATAAGTCAATATTTTTTACTCTTTTTATATTTGTTACTTTTCTTTTGCTCTTTTGCTCTAAAACACATTTTGTGTTTCCTTGTGAATGATATGTGCTATATACTGTATATATATATATATATATATATATATATACACACACATACACATACACACACACACACACACACACACACACACAGTATATAGCACATATCATTCACATATATATATACATATATAGAAGTGATTGAAAATATATATATTGAAGTGAAAGATAAACAAATTAATGCAATTTCATAGATGATGATGCGTGAATGAAAGAACAAAAGTGATATATAAAGGTCTCTGATACTTCTACAGAGTCCGAGAAAAGGTCATTGTGTGTTGAATCTCGTACCGCAGAACAAATGGCCACAGTTCGTCTGGACTGGGAAGCTGGCCGTCTGCAGGCAGACCGGACAGTGCCAGTCTCGGCTTGTGGATGGACATGACTGTGTAGATTCCTAAAGAGATGAGTGGGAAAGAGAGACAAAAGTTAGGAGATGAGAGGTAAAAAAAAAAACGAAGCTAAAAAGTAAATATAAAACACAGAAAGAATACAAAAATTAGTGTACCTGATACTGTGTGCTATATAATTTCCTAAAGTCCTTGATGATCTCTCAAACAGACATTATAATAGATACACAATACATGCTCGGGGACCTAAACAGTGAGATTATTATCAGTTGTTTGGCAGCAACTACTCTACTAGACTGTGACCCTAATAAAAGCAATAACAATGATCACACAGGAGTGCCTTACAGTCATAATATTGTTTGCCTGTATGTTTTTCCTGTCGTCACGGTTAGATTTTGACATTCATTTTAAAGAAATAACCTGCAAAGCATCAGCTTCAGTAATGTGCTGACTGTATGAGTAAAGTTTTCACCTTGGGGAAGCTCATATATGTTGATGCTGACTGATCAGTCGCGCGCACCAGAGATCTGGGTGACCTGGGGTGACTAGGACCCACTGGACCTTCAGAGGGGAGATGGTCCAGTCTGCAACGTGATACAACATGGCAACAATGATAAACACACATTAAATATCACATATCTGCTAGTGAGGAGATACTGACACAAAGCAAACAATTTGTGAGATACGGTGGATTACACAGCTTGTGGATGACAGATGCTGAGACTCTGACTACAGCAGTTTGACAGATTAGCTGCTGCAAGCTATGTTGCAACAACAAACACTGTGATTTACCTAAATGATTTTCAAGCTTTCCAACAAAACATAATCATAACTTTCATTAGGCACTTTAAACAACTTCACGACACACTCCTATCATTAAATTACATTTACAGTGATTACAGTAATCACTTTATGAAATTACACTGTTTTCGGTGGATTACTTTACACTTTAAAGTAACCAGTTAATTTCTAACATATCACATGGTGTGTTGTGTGATCAAAAGACACTCTCCACCTAAACTGTCTTATAAGTGCCGTTACAGCACACAGCCCCTCTTGTGTTCTAAGAAAACAAACACAATCCTATCAATACCAAACTTAATTAAAATGAAACTCACCTGGACTGAGAGCTGTGGTGGGGGTGCATAGTTGAGTTCCAAACAGCAGTGGACAGGTAGTCACTGTCTCCTAGAAGGAAGTAAAGTGCTACCCGACAGCATCACTGTTCAAAATAAATTGGAGCTGCTTGTTAATGATCAACTACACCCTCCAATATCAGCTGGTGTCTGAGTCTTCCTGCTTAAAGGGGGCAGTAATGCAGTCCAGTAAATAAAGCACAGATTGGTACTAAACTGCAAAAGAACATATAACACTTGTGAAACATTTCATCAGACTGCAATGAACTTTTAGTGTAAAGGTATTGTGTATTGTATAAGTCATTGCTTCTAAAAAGCACCACATCCTTCAGTCTTGTCAGAGACAAAGTATTTGGGTCACATGACTTTCCACCAGATCAAAGACAGAAAAGATCCCTCCCACGCTGTGTAGGCCAGATCTGACCTCACCAATCATTTACCCAAAGTTTACTCGGTCAGCAGCCATCCTTCACATAATTCTACTCTTACCATAAACTGCTGGTTGACATTAACTCTGTACCATGCTAAGGGATGTGGCGAGGCAACTCAGCTGTAGATAATCAACCCAGCAACTCAACAGCTCTGTCATAGATCCAAGTTTTACCGGAATATAAAGGTAGTATTCCACAATTGCACAACAATTATTCTCATACTGTGTCATTGTTTAAAGATTAAAAGTGTTGGCCACATAACTCAATATGCAGCAATACAGAAGCAAAAGCAAATAAATTTGCTTTGATTAAAAAAGAAAAAACGCTCTCTCTTAGAATATGTGACATGATACACGACATGATTATCTTCACAGAGTTCACAATGACAGCTGTTTCATAAATATCCGAGCAAATATTTATACAGGCCCTTCACCTCACCTCAGATAAGAGCTGAAGAGTAGGAGTCAATGTGGTTTAGATGATCTAAAAATAGCAGCCATTAGTCAGTGAGGGTCAGGGTCTCAGAGTGGCAGATATTACAAGAAGCTCATCTACTAATAGATAAACTCTGGGTAAAGTCCAGTCTCAGCCCATATATGAGTTGGTAATTTGAGGATACCTTGTGTAAATTCAACCAGATTCAAATTAAATATGTAATAAGGCTATATATTTACATGATACATTTCATCTTCTGCAAGCTTTGTTTGGAATTTTCCATATTGTGGCTGAGAAAGCAGCAACAAGTGTGAGATTTGTTCTCTTGGAAAAGCAGTCAGTATTTTGTAACACACTGTGTAGCCTTTGAATCTCAATTACTCACACCCTCACGTGAGAGATATAAATGGATAATGTGAGGAGGTTTGTTGTACTTATGGGAAATGATTTACGGTCAGTGAATGGTTGGCAAGCTGCCACGCGTTTAGTGGCTGTCTGAGAGCAGGTTGAATACAGAAAAGAGTTTATATTTCTAGGTAATATGGCCTATAAAATAGGACTAAAAGGGATTAACATTCCCCATTTGTATTAAATTTCCAACTGCAATCAATTTCCTGCAAAACTGGCTGTGCAGGATCATCTCTCTGTTGGCTAAAGTGTGAGGTTAGCACTTTACAGTAGGTCACGTAGACACATGAAACACACTGCAATTATGATTTCATATTGATTGAGCAAGTGCAGTCACATGTTTGTGGCAGACAAGATAAATCCAAAGAAAAAACTTGTCAAATGAATGTATGGTTTACAGAACCTGACTTGTTTTTTGAACAGAAGGGGAGTACTGTGAGCAAAACAAATGTTCCTGAAATAGTTTATTTCATGTTTGCTGTAAATGTATGTGTTTGGGGCTTTTGTCATGTTTGCAGTTTTTTCTTTTTTTACACAACTCAGTAGCTTTTCCTCACATTTATTTATGGTTTTGACTTTTTTTCAACAACGCTTGAAATGTGCGATATTGTTTTTCCTTTGTCTGGAATTCTATGCGGCTTCATGGGGATGTTTCTCTGAAGTTATCGCAGTTTTAGTATAAGCATATATATATATATATGTTACAAGTAAAAGTCATGCATTTTTTGTAAAAGTACTAAAGTATCAGCATCAAACATTACTTACCAAAGTACCAAAAGTAAAAGTAGTCATCATGCAAAACTGTCCTATTGACAATATTTATAATATTGGATTATAATTATTGATGCATTCATGTTTTACATCATGTTAATGTTGCAGCTGGTATAGGGGGGGCTAAATTTAATCAGGCCTACTTTACATAATGCTGGTTAGCTCCAATAAAATGGAAATACTCAAGTAAGATACAAATACATCAAAATTGTATTAAGAAGCCTACAGTAGGCTACTTGTTGTGTATATACACATGTATGCTAAGCCATGATGTTGTACAGTAGGCCTTTTATAACTCTAAAGGTGGGATGACAACCTCTCTGGGGCAAGTCAGGTCTAATTGAGTTGTTTTTAATGACAGCAAATTTGTAACCTACCAAAATAGTCTTTCTTTCATGAAATAAAATGAATCAGAATCAAAACCAGCTTTATTGGCCAAGTATGTGTATACATACAAGGAATTGACTCTGTTTTAAAGTTGTTCTCAGTGTAGGCGTACTTGCACACAGTTCCAAGTGCAATTTACAGGAGGATAGAAATAGACGCTTAAAAAACATGAACAACAAAGATGAACAAAGACAGGTAAAAAATAAACATAGCTTTATTATGTGGCTAAATGCCTACAAGTAGGTGAAATTAATATTTAACTAATGTTATACAAATTTAACTGTGTTCCCTTGTACCTGATTTCCTCAACCAAACATATCCATCACTGATGCGGGGAAGCCATTTGATAATTACACAGACCAGAAATCTTTCGATTCTGGCCAGATAATGGGGGCGTATGTTAATCACATATCACGTTCACTGATTGGTTACAGCGTAGTTTAACAGCCATCAATCTCAACATATCTCAACACTGATTGGATTCAGCTTGAACTCCCCTCCCCCCTCCCCCCTCCCCCCTCCCCCCACTTCACCGCAACCTGCAAGCAAGTAAACGTCAAAGAACGCTGCGCCATTCACGTACATCTTACGTTATTTTAATGGCGGAACGACCGTTGTGGCACTCCGCTGTACGTAGTCGTCGTTAGAGACCTACCTCTCGGCAGCAGGTGAGGTCAAATGCGGAGGAAAAGAGCGGAAGAGCTTTTGCTGACAGGTGGAACATATTTAAGATAAAAGGCAACAAATGGACGAGGATAAAACGGCGCTGACCGAGAGCCTCATAATATGGGTGAGTTTGTGTGCTCGTTGCGATGTGAATGTGTCGCCTGATGTAGAAGGAAACCGTGGAAACGATTTACCTGTTTGTAGGTGGTGGGGTGTCCGCGAAAACACTCCAACATCCGAGAGAAAATTAGACAAATATGAACTAAAGGAGATGGTCGTCAGTTAATCTAACGGCAGCTGTTGTCTGTCGTTATTATGGAGATTAGCGTCAGTTTACAGCTGTTATTGATTTAATAGTCTCTGTAACGCTAGCCACACTGTCGGTGGTCCACCGGTACGTCATGTAGCTAGGTGAGGTGCAGGGAGCTGCTACCTCAGGCTAATGCATATAAAGTTTCCACTCAGGAGCTACAAAGACAACAATATGCTTCAGTTTAGTCGCCAGATTTAGAGTGTTAATCCCATTAACCAGGAGATATTTGTGGAATGTCGCTTCGGGTCTTTTGTTAACATTATGTAACTGTTTAAATGTAACTTAGCTACCACCAGCAATAGTTGCCTTCATTTACCTAAAATATAACTTAACCAGGTTTTGTTGGCTACCTTGGGTCAGGTTCATCAGGCATCTGAAGCCTGATCTAAACCACATCAGTTACCTTGTTGGACAACAGTAAATAAGGGGTTAGAAATTGTTTCCAAACAGTGCACTTTTACATTAGTTTTATTCATTTAGCTGACGCTTTTATCCAAAGCGACTTACAATTGCTACACATGTCAGAGGTCGCACGCCTCTGGAGCAACTAGGGGTTAAGTGTCTTGCTCAGGGAGACAATGGTGGATTGGTCACAGTGGGGAATTGAACCCGGGTCTTTCGCACCAAAGTCAGGCGTCAATCACCACCCCCACCCTCCGACTTAATTTTAATGTTTCATATTTCACGTTTTTAAATGATTATCTAATTTTTAAACTAAAAAGCTTTCACTAGTTTGTGGGAGTGAACCTCAGAGTAGCCTTCAGATAAGGTTTAGTCCTCACTATAAACTGCAGGATGTTTACAGGACAGGATGTTGGCCCAGGAGAATTCACCTTACACCGTGACTGCGGCTTGAATTATTTAAGTCTTCACTTAAGCACAGGAGTCTTTGCCTGGCTGTTGTGGTGTCTTTGCCGCTATTATATGCAGTCTCTCATTTCCCATCCTGTGGTATCCACCCTTCAGTGCAACACTGTCATCTATTATCTCCTCTTTCCTTTACTTATTCCTCTCTCAAAGCGGTTTGGATGCAGTTATGCAGTACCCCAGCACATCTGCAGTGTTGTGGAGAAAATCTTCAGTGATAGCTTGTGCAGGGTGTTTCTGCATGTCTCCTGATGATTTATTCCCTGTACTGTCCTTTGATTGTTGACCAGTCCTCGTGATGATGCTGTGTTTTCTGCCTTTTAGCTGCAGACCTTCAACACTCCTGCACCCTGCAGAACAGTGGAGGAGCTGACCACTGGAGCGGCAATGTCCCAGGCACTGCATCAAATGTGCGAGAACACACACACACACACACAGGAATACAACACAAATTGTCGAGACTGGCCCAAGTAATCATGATATCTGGCTACTCTACAGATACATTATTTATTTACAGCCAGTCTGGTTTGCCTCAAATAATTCCCATCACATGTGGTCAGCTGGTACTTGAGTTAAGTCATAGAAGCACAAGTGTTGAGTTTCTTTAGTATGCGCAATGTAAATCCTGGCAAAAAATAGCTAAAGTAAAGGATTTTGTTTGTACTTGTCCTGATTACACAAACAAAAGCTATTGGAGCAACAGCAAACATCAGATTTTATTGTGCTACACTGAAAATCAAGTAACAAGAATTATTTTTTAAATTCGGCACCAGGGTTTACTCATGTAGGTCTATTGTAGAAGAATTAGATACGACTTTATCCAGCAACCTTGAGACTGCAGAATGCGCCAACGTTACGGTTGAGAGGCATGCTGAGTATGTGGTGCTACTTACTCTTTTGTAAGTTGCTTTTACGATCACCCTTATTCTCAACCTACATGTGCGACCCACAGCTGAATAGAAGAACACTCCTGTTTTTATAGGGATTATAAAAAAGGTATGCTGGGTGCTGTAGGAAATAACAAGCTTAAGTAAAAGAAGGCTGAGAAAAAGTGGACTGCAACATTTTATATTTTCTAGAATAATTTGACTGTGAACTGCACACAGTTAATTGAGAAGTCATGTGTAGATGGACTGTTGTTCCTTGCTGTTTGTGTGCTGCAGAGACCCAGCTTGGTTCACTGATGGATGGCTCGGTCGTATCAAAACAGATGTTGAGGATAACTGGAGACTGAAGGTACAGAGCAGTGCTGTCTCCCCGTCCCCTGTCTGCCCTCTCTGACTCTCCTCCATGTTTTGCTGAACCCCCTGAGTGTTAAATCCTCTGTTTGCTTCAACCCTACCAAATTTGTCCTTGACCCTGACCTCCTGCCTGCCCCAAGGGTGCCTCTCCTGGCTTAGCCTGCGTTCTGACCACACGCTCTGACTCCTCTGGTGAAATGTGTACATGTATGTTTGTCCAAATATCTTAGCTATACGTAATATCATTCTCTATTTGGCTGTGTTTCCCTGTTGCTCATTTCCCCCTTCCCAATAGACCTCTTTCACAGAAGACATTATGACGTGTCACAGTAGGAAAAGCACAGTAAATAATATGAATGATGGCTCGGATCCATTTAGCTGGCTCAGTTTAAGGGTCCTGGTCTTGTGCATGCTAGGCGTAATGGGACACTTAAGTATAAAAGAGCATCATTAATTATTAGATTTAGCTCACAATCATTAATCATTGTGAGATAAATCTAAACTTGGAGCTTGTAGACGGGTATCTAATTGACGTGCTCGGCCGTCACCGAGTATGACGTCTGCTCTTGCATTTCCTTGCCTTTCAGGTCTATTGTTCACTGTTAATGGTCTGCAGAATGATGCAGTAATCAATAACCGTCCATAAAGCTCCACTGAGTAAAACATTTCATCACTCCACACAGTACAGCTTTGCCAGACACACAACGCTGTGTCTGGCGAAGCGGTCAAAAAGTTGGTGTGCCCCCCCCCCCCTCCCTCTGTCTGTCAACACTTATCACCTGAGTAAAAGTTCCTATCTAAATTGTGGTTGACATAAAGCAGAAAGGGGACATCTACTGGACCCACTGGTGTTCTGCACACAACACAAACCCCCTTACATGGCTCTTAGAGTAATGTTTTTACACTTTTTTTTTTTTTTTTTTTTTTATATATACCATGACATGTCAAAATGTCTGCTGAGAAGAATGCCTATTTTCCTTTGGGTACCAAAGTCATTGCATGAATATACATTATGTTTGAAGGGAATCTCTGATGTGAGTTTGTTCTCCTGGCTCCCATTTTGACTATGAAGTTCATAACATTTCATAATCGTGTGTGTGATCTCAGTTGAACAACCTGAAGAAGATCCTTCAGATGGTGATTGCTTATTATAATGAGGTAGGTTGTGGCCGTGTACACGATATGTTTTTTGTTTGCTTAGTTGTCAGGTGGTTTGGATAAGCACCTGCTGCATGTGAGAGTCGGACTTTGTGTGTTCATTCAATTCTCGCAGGAGTTGTAGTAGCCACTGTTTACATAGTGCAAAGCCTCATGCGCCTAGTGTGCAGTTGAGATCAAAACAAGCAGCTCAAGCCTGGTACACAATGCCAATGAGTACTGAAGCCAAGCATTTTTTAACATGCATACATTTTGATAAATTAACAAATGAGTGGGATATTTTGTTCATCAACTCGCTTAGTTGTAGCAACACTGTACTACAACAGCTGTTTATTGGCGGGGCTTTTAAAATCATTGCAGTTTTACTTACTTTTATCTCCGCACCATCAGGTCTTTGCACAGGAAATCTCAGACTTCCCCATGCCAGATCTGGCCCTGGTGGCAGAGCATTCAGACCCTATGCAGCTAGGGAGGCTACTGCAGCTCATACTGGGCTGTGCTGTCAGATGTGAGCGTAAACAAGGTATTTGTCTGCTTCTGTGCCACACACAATTTGTGTACACAAATTAGCCACAAACAGATACTCCTATCTACAGTAGACATGTGCCGTACAGTGCACATAGAAATGGAATTGTTCAATCAAAAATCATTTAGTTTCAGACAGTCAGCAGAACAATGTTTAATTATTGCACTGCCAAGCCGCTGACCACCCATCAGGCAGCCTGGCTGGGAAATCAATGATGGCACTGTTACATTTGGAAGTGGGACAGAAATGCTGAAAAATAATAACCGGTGCAGTCAGTGTGGTCAATCTCTCTCATTTTATTGCCAGAATACATACAGATCATCATGACATTGGAGGAGTCTGTGCAGCATGTTGTCATGACAGCCATTCAAGAGGTCAGTTCATCTTAATGTGTCTTCTTCACTCTCGCAGAATATCCAGAAAAGCTTGTCTGAACAGTTGAGACTTCTCTCGAAATGTTTCAAAGGCAGTTGTTGTTGAGGAAGGGCAGAGGGTATACTTGTGTTTGAGTAAAATAGGTTTAAGCTTTGCAGCTTTCTCATGAGTCTGTGCAATCCTTACATGAAGTGACATTTTCTCCTCTTCAGCTCATGAGTAAAGAGACCATGGCCCCGTTTGGAGCAGAAGTGTCAGGGGACTTGGAACAGCAGGTCAGTGTTATTACTACAGAGACTCCTGCCACGGAGGACGACTTATGGTTTTAACAAAGTTGGTGCTTTCTGCTGTGAAATTCAGTGAATTTGGAGACACTCTGCCCAATTTGAGTGAGATCAATACAAATATTTATTGTGATTTATAACTTAAACCACTCCCAGAGGAATTCTAACATTAATGGGTATTTTGATTCGCAATTAATGTGTAAATCACTACTTCCGTCAAGTATTTTTATAGGTAGGTTTATAAATCACTGTAAGATTTAAAATGGCTTATTTTGTCTTGACCAAGAGTCAAAAAGCCTAAAGGTGTTCAATTTATTATCTCCACCAAGTGTACGCGTTATATGTAACAGCCTAATATTGTTTGTGCACATTTATGATTGCATGCTATGATTTATACCACCATTGACTGCTTTCTCCTTACTCCTCTTAACCAGCCGGTAGGGAAGTTGTCATTTCCGCTATGTACGTGAGTTAAAATACGTCATCGTTGACTTTTGGCTTCACGCGGGATGCGAACAGCATACTGCCAGGTGACAGTCCTGTGTTTGTTTGACCCCGACTTTCTTGCTCTTCATGCTACATCACCTGACATTCTTTTCTCTGACATTTGTGCGTTAAAATGACACGCCGTCTCTGCAAAATATAAGCCAGTGAGACTAAATGTGAAATGACACGAAAAGTAAAACATGTTTTGATAACAAACATGTTATTCATACGCCATTTGGTGATACCAGGCCTGGTGGAAGTCTGCACTCTTCTAGTTACGTATGATGAAATCTAGAAAAGCAAGTAAATCCTCACCTTTTTGAGAGGCAGTACCTAGCAAATTGTTTAACTTTCTGTCAGTCAGTTTATTTCAGCTCTTATGTACTGTATAAAACTACATAATTTGCCAGTTGGTGGACAGATAACATTACTACCTCAAAGGAGTCACTCCAGCCTGGAGTAACTCATCACTGAGGCGTTTATTCTTCTGGATCTGTTTGAGGAAGAGCAGGACCACCGTACAGACAATCCCAGAGCATAAATATCGACTCTCACTGCACAGTGCTCTGGGCATCAGCTTTCTGAACAGGCAGGACGGCTGGATGAGTCCTGTGTAACGGGCTTTAACATTGGGGGGGGGAAAATTTAACATGGCAATGCATGAAGAGGAGGTGACAAAAAGGGTTTTAAAGCCTTCTGAGTATTGCAGAAGAACCAGTCTGTAAGTTATGTGAATGTACATGTTAGTTAATTCTGCTGTTCGTTCATGCTTTTCCAGCTAAAAAAAGCCCTAGAGGACCTCACTGAACTTCTGTCAGAGAAGGAAGCGCTAGCCCAACGCTGTCAAGAGCTGGACATACAGGTGAATACAGAGCTTATACACACACTTTGGAATTTTTACAGAAAAATGGACATTAATATGATTTATATACAGCTGTCTAGGCCCAGTGCATTATGGAAGTTGCTGATATTCAGATCTCAATGTGCACACAGGCGCGTCTGCAGCACAGTGTAAACAGGAGTTGTGTAATTCGTTGTAATGCTTGGGTCTATTGTCTGAAGCTGCTGTGGCAGAAGGGCTGTGGGCTTACAGTCTGGCCTCTGCTGGTCCCCCTGTGGCAACCAGCCGTGCTCTGCCAGTGCTGGAAGGCCTCACTCAGCACTGTACCGGCAGACTAAGTTTAGCATAGGCACTGATCAACTGTTCAATTGGACTCTCGACAGATTGATTTGTTCTGTCACCAATCGTGCTCGTCGCTCGCCGCAGCGAGGTAAGTCCAGCGTGGCTGAACATTCAGCAAAACTAAACCCATCTAAACCAGCTGCTCAAATGTTTCTCTTAATTCGGCTAACAGATGGCTCAATTTTCTGTAACCAGAGAAGCTGATGTGTGTTGTTTTTAATATATTATGGTATTATTCCAGTAAATCACCCACAAACATCTGTAATAACCATTTTGTCATTTTCTTTTGGTTAAAGCAGCATCACATTATTTTGTAATGCATCCTAATCTAAGACGTATAGTTTATAAGAAAAGCAATGGAGTTAAAGATGGGGCTGTGCTGTAATTAAGTATTTTTCATAAACATTGTTTAACTCGTGTGGTGATGATCACATCTTGTTATAATTTTACAAAATACTGTTTAATTTTTTTGAATCCAGGAAACAAAATGTGTTACTGAAGTTTCTTTATTTTACATTGTGTGAAGTTTTGTCCATTGTAATGCATGACAGTGAAACATAAATTGTACATCATTATATTATTTTGCATACATTGCGATATATGTAAAGTATGCATCAGGAGAACTTTGTTGTTTTTTATTATGATATATAGATTTCAACCATGTAGCCCAGTGCTAGTTAAGCATGTAGTTTCTAATGTTAGTCACAGATTCTACAGGTTGTTTTATCTAGTTTGTAGATTTGCTGTATGCAGGACATTTAAACAATGACAAGTTAATCTCAAGCTAATAGTCCAATGTATGTTTGTTAAAAACACTACACATCAGGAAAATAATGGGTGAGAAGCGAAACTAACAAACCGTGAATTAACATGTTTGCTTAAAGTACCTTTTGTCTGTGCTCTGCTTCCAGCATGGATTAACTGCCCTGTTTGCTTTAACAGCTGGGAGAGGAAGAGAGTTATCTGTAAAGGGAGCAGTGTGTCTTTTGGGGCTCAGATGTAACTTTGCTGCTTTGCATGAAATAACTGACCAAAGAGGTTTAACATCACAAATTCTTCCTGCTGACTCAACTCAAATTTATTTTTGTTTGTTTTTAATTGAAATTGTATCACTTGCGAGAGTGGGTTTAAACCTTGTTGTGCCTGGACAGGTGGCTGTTCTTCAAGAGGAACGGAACAGCTTATTGGCCGAGAATGACGTCCTAACAGACCGAGCCAATCAGCTGGACACTTTCGACGACCCAAGCACACCCTCAGGAAGAAAACACAGCCAACTGCAGCAACACTTTGAGGCGCTGCAGGAGGAGAACTTCAGGTCTGTCGCTTCCTGCTTAAGTGTACCGCAGCAACCTCATTATGGCTGTAAAATACTAAACGATTGTGTATCTGCGTCTTTTAGGCTGGAGGCCGCTAAGGATGACTACCGGATCCACTGTGAAGAGCTGGAGAAGCAGCTGATTGAGGTTCAGCACAGAAACGACGAGCTCACAAGCTTGGCAGAAGAATCCCGAGCTCTCAAAGATGAACTGGACGTTCTGAGGTTTGTGTCTGTGTGAGGAGTTGCCCTGTGACAGGTTGATCAGAAAGCAGATTTAACAAACTTAAGTAGCGGTGCCTTGAACACCTTGTGTACGCAAACATTTTTAATACGGTTGGGTTTATATACATGATTCCTTGCATGGGAACAAAACGCAAAGTAACCAGAAAACTCCAACACATTATGTTCCAACATTAAGTAAACTAAATTATTAAATATATTCATGGGGGCGGGGGCAAAGCCAAAGTTCTTTATCTGTGCTAGTGGAAATCAGGGATTAGAGCCTAAAGATCGTTTGGCGTAACAGTTTTTCATTGATGTTTATGCATTTATTTTCTATTGACATACTGTAGGAACTGCTCAGATCGGGTGGTGATGCTGGAGGCCTCAGTGGACACGTACAAACGTAAACTGGAGAATCTAGGTGATCTGAAGAGGCAGATGAAGCTGCTGGAGGAGAATAACATGACCTACATGCAAAACACGGTCAGCTTGGAGGAAGAACTGCGCAAGGCCAACGCTGCCCGCACACAGCTCGAGACGTATAAGAGACAGGTAAATGAAATGCAAAGAAATTTAAATGTGAGACTCCAGCCTAAACTCAATCATATCTCATACAGTACAGATTTAATTTCTTAAAGCCAAACATGTGTATTCTGTGATTGCATGCGTTTGCAGGTCCAGGAGCTTCATAGGAAGTTGTCTGAGGAGACGAGGCGAGCCGACAACCTGGCCTATGAGATGAAGAAGTTAGAGGAAAAGCACGAGACTGTGTTGAAGGAGAAAGAGGTGACAGCTTTTGAGATGTGTCAAATTATTTATTTTTTTACTCTAGCTGTGTTAACATTTTTCACTAACATTTGGACTATTGGTTTTTAAAATGTCTTCCCCCTCCATTAGAGGATCGTCGTAGAGAGAGAGTCTCTAAAGGAGATCAATGAGGAGCTGCGATGCACTCAGGCTCAACAGCACCAGCTCTCCCAAGCAGGTATCTCGCTTCATAATCATGTCTGACAGTAATTACGCTGCTTGGCCACTTTGATATTCTAAAGTGCGCATGCTTTCTTCATGTAGGGATGCTTCCTTCAGGCAGCCCCAGCCATGATAACCTGGCAGCTGAGTTAATACCCATCGAGTACAGGTAACAGACGCCGCATCTGACAGTGTAGAATCTGTTCACTTTCTGAGCAGCGAGCGCTGACCTGTTTGTGTGATTGTTCAGAGAGAAGTTCATCAGGCTGCAGCATGAGAACAAGATGCTGAGAGTGCAGCAGGAGGAGTGTGAGACAGAGAAGATCGCTGCACTGCAGGTTCAGCTGGAGGAAGCACATAAGACACGCAGTGAACTGGACACTGACAACAGGTTAGCAGTTTGTTTCTCAGCAACAGCTTCTTTTTCTCCAGTCATCGGCTGCTTTTAGCTCTAGTGTGCGTTGTCCATGTATTTTCTTTGTTTTTAAATGTATTGTTTTGTTAATGTTGCCTTTCTCTTCACATCGATCAATCTGCAGACTGAGTCGAGAGAGGATCAGTGAGCTGCAGCAGCAGGTTGAGGACCTCCAGAGGGCTCTGCAGAGTCAGGCGTCCAAACCCGATGACGTAAGTGCGCCAGGAGCTCTGGCACCAATACAGAGAAAATGTCCCACAGAGTTAATCGTATTGGGCTGTTTAGAATTAGTGCTGGCATAAAATTATGAAAAGAGGTCATGTTAGTTTGTGTTCAGTCAAAATGTTAATCTGATTTAGGGGTTATTTTTCACGTTATTATTTTGCAGTGCACAATTAATTAACCAAATGTAACCCCTGTAATGTCTTTTCAGTCAAACCTGAAGAGGAAACTTGATGCGCACATGTAAGTGTGAATCATGGGTCAATTCTGGATAAAAGTTAAGAGCTGTAAAGTAAATGTTCTCCAGTAGAGGGAGGTAAAGAAACTGCATTTGTTTCCTCAGGGTGCAGCTGAACGAGGCTCAGGACGAAATCATGAAGAAGAAAGAGCTGCTGGAAGACCTTCAGCCTGACAATACCCAGACTTGTAAGTCTCCAATCATGTGTCTGTCTTATTTCTATTTTTGTATTTATTTTTTTTGTCACCACTACTGCAACCCCAGGAGGGGATAATGTAATCTTCTCTGCTATGCCGCATCAATACACAATATGAGTAAAGTGAAACCTCTTCATTTCTGCCTCTAAGCCTTGAGGGTAGATGAGCTAATGGCTGCTTTGAAGAAGAAGGATGATGACATGAGGGCCATGGAGGAAAGGTACAAAATGTACCTGGAGAAAGCTCGCAATGTGAGTGATAAGATACAATTTATCTATTTATAAATATTATTTTTTTCCTATTCCAGTCCTGTCATTTCTTAAAACACGAGGTTGAGTCAAGTAGTGGGATCTTAAGTTCAGGACTGTCCTTCCTTCCTTTTCCTGCTCGTAGGTGATCAGAGCGCTGGATCCTAAACTAAACCCAGCCACTGCTGAGATCCAGGCTCTGAGGAACCAGTTAGCAGATCGGGAAAAGCAGATTCTCAACCTGGAGGTAAATCTTTTTGACTCGTTCACGGGGCTTAAGTGTTCGTGATATGAACATACAGTATCTTCTTTAAAGGACAGGCTTAACCATGTTTGATTTTTGCCTCTATAGCGTCAATGTGAGCAGGCCAGACTGAGAGAGTATGAGGAGAAGCTAATTGTCACAGCGTGGTATAACAAGGTAAAATGATTTATATCCTGCCTTTTACGACATTATCAACACTCAGCGTACACTGCAAATTTGTTTTTCTTCGTCCTCAGAGTCTGAACTTTCAGAAGTTGGCAATTGAATCGCGACTCGGAGGCTGCTCCTCCTCTGTGGTGTCCCCTGGCCAGTCCTTCTTGTCCCAGCAGCGGCAAGTCTCAAACGCCCCACGTCGTGCGCTCTCCATCAGCGTGCCTGCCACTAACCCCAAATAGACCTCGTCATAGAGCCAAATGTCTCACTTTTATTCTGTTAAGAGAAAAATACCCTCCCTCGCTCCCTCCTACCAGTGAGCACTCAAGTGACCTTAAACACATCTGCTCTCAGCGCTTGGGTAGGGGGCCCCAGATGAGCTGATTGGGATCAATGAGCACTTATCAGTCACAACCCTATAGGTTACCAGCCGGAGTTCATAGCATACTGTCCCACAATACACTGGCTGCAGGCTGACCTTCCATAGAACATGAACTCACAACCTATGTTCACCTCACTAGCTAAAACGCACACACTCTCAACCAGACTTGGAGCATATTTCCCATCTGCCCTGTGGGTTTGCATTGCCAACTGCAGACTCAGCTGAATACTTACTATAATCAATTTAGCCTGTCATGCTGCGTACTCGATCAGGAATGAGAAACCTAAATGAATGCTTAGCTGTTTTATTCAGAATGTGTGTACCATCATACTATGCAGTTAAGGGGATACTAATGTTGTCAGACAAGCGTGCTTACGATGTGTTTTGAGGAAATTATTGCTATATTTGGTGCTGGCCACCAACTGCTTTTGTGCATCAAACATCACTTACATTTTATTTTTTTTGCTAAAATGGAACAAGCCCATCATGGAAAGCTGTGAAAAATCCTATAAATCATCATAAATAAAAACATCTGAGGTGCTGCAACAACGATTCCTACACAAGAAATTCAGGAATACTAGCTCTACTATTTATCATGTATTTTCTATACTCCTAAAGTGTGATTTGATTTCCTTACTGCTCCTTATTTGAAAACTGGCAGGCTTGTCTATTTACTGAATATCTTGCATCTTATTTAGTAGTGAGTAATCGGTCTATAATTGAAGTTGCACAGCTGTAATGTAAACATGATTTTACCACCAGCTTCTGATCCTAAATGTCAGAACCAGGTTAAGTTTTCATACAGTACCTGCAAATTGTAACTTGAGTTTTAATCACTGTAGTTGATATTCTATTTAATCATGGACATGTTTTCAGGATATTTTAGTGTCGGTGGAAGTTCAGAGCGCAGCAGAGAAGCAGCTGTTTTCTTTGACATTGTGGGTTATTGTCTTACCAACCTTTTAGGGAGTCTTAAGTTAAACTACACTAGTTTCACAACATGAAATGGCTTTTGATTGGCTTGTCACACTATGTTTGCAATCACACTAAAGAAGCATTCTGTTAAAATGGTTTGGCCATGTGTGATCGATAGATGTTTATGTTAAGGCGCTTTTATTTTCCACTGCTGCGGATGATTCTTGTCGATGGCTGATTTAAAAGCATTTACATAAAAATAAGTGATCAAGCGTAGCACAGCGCAGGAACTACATGTATAGTGTTATGTTTGTGTGTACATAAAGAAAACTGACAAAGGCATTGTGAATATTCAGGAACTTAAGGAGTTAAAAACGTAAATCCTTTTGGTTTTCTTGTGAATAAATAAACTTTTTCTAAAACTGCGTTTTACATTCAGTACTATCAATCTCAGTTTGGGAGGCCTGCACCAATCAATGTGTTTCATTTCAACACGGTTCACAAATCATTTGACACACAGGTGTTTCTAGGTCATCAGTGCCTTCACATGTGACAAAGCAGCAATTTACAAGTCAACTCCATCAGAACAAATCCAGCCATACGTACTGTAGATAATTAACGAGACAAAAAGGATACAAGATCTGGCCTTTCTGTAATGACATTTTTTTTTTATAGTGGGCAATAGTCTAACTGGAAAGCGACAAGTGGGAAAATAATAGACATGATTGAGATATTTGTTGAATTTTTCATTAACAGGTGAAAGAGTTTTGGTGCTGCCTAGCGGTCGTGTAACAGTGTCAAAACAATAATTCATCACACAGTATGCGATTGTGTTGTGGCAAAACAAAGCGCATGCTATAGTTCTTCATTACCTCCTCGTGCCACCATAGTCCAGTATTTCTCATGTTATTGACGGGATATATTGCTGTCTAACTGCTTAAAAACTTGAATGGTATAGGGATACTGAAATGAAAACCATGTATAACAAACAATATAGTCTATGGTATGTTGCAGGGTTCAGCGGGCTTTGGCATAGATCTTAAAGGGATATGGTGTGCGTGTGGCTCCAGTGATTCCTTCTGTACTCAGCTCAACTCCTTCCAGAGTGGAAAAATAAAATTTCTGAAACAAACTGACGAAAAACAGGAACAGCTCCATTCTCGCCAGGCCTTCACCCAGACATGCGCGCTTTCCTGGAAAAACAAGCATAAATGCAAGTGCACTAAAATATCTTTTTGTACATGCTCACTATATAGCTGCAGGCAAACACTTTCTGCAGCTTACATGACTTTACTCCACGAGGTTAAAATGTTTCAAAAGTGGATTCTTTCAGTCACTTAATCAAACTCAGATTAATCCGTTAGATGTGAAGGTTACCTGCAGAGAAAGGTAAAAATGCATCCCTCCTCATAAACTTTCCTTCAGCATCCAGGAAGTGTTCAGGGTGAAAGGTGTCAGGAGTTTCCCACTCATTCTTGTCAAACAGCACAGATGTCAGGTTGGGCATCACTGTGGTTCCCTGCACACACACAGACGGCAATCAATTTAATATTTATTGTACAAAAGGATAAGAAGAGGTACAGGGATAGATTTTAGATATAGAATGTAGACATAATTTTTAACATTTACAGGAAAAACATACTTAGCCCCAAGCCAGTACAATCCCATTGAAACAAAGCCTCAATAAAAAAAAAATTATATAAATATAAAATATTGAGAAAGGGGATCCAGAAAGGGTCTTCAGATTCTAGGAAAGGTTTCTGAAGAGACCTCAGTGTAAGTTTGTTGACAGTGGACATGGTGTGTCAAACGTAATGTCAAAGCAGAATCAGTTTGTTTGTAGCTCATGTGGGTACATCGATCTTTGTAAGGTCAATAAAATTCAGTTATTTGTTCTTTTCATGTTCTCATCTATTTCAGTAGAATGTTTTTTATTTGCAAATTGTATTGATAACATTTACAGCACAAGCATGTTTATAACCCCCACCAATTAACAAATAGTGAAAATGGGATACACAAGAACAAGACAAGAAAAATTACGCTGTGAATCATACATGTGTATATTATTAATAGAAATCTACAGGTGATGTCAGGAGAGTCAATAGTAATTTAAAATTTGCTGACTTCACCCACATTGTCATATTTCAGACATTATATTAGTTTTCTAATAAACACATAAGGAACAGCGTGCTGCATGCTATAAGTAGATGCACCTTGGGTATGAAGTAACCACCCAGTGTCGTGTCCTTGGCGGCCATTCTGAGTCCATTAAGAGGAACAATGTTTCCCATCCTCTGGATCTCGTGGATGACAGCATCAGTGTAGGGCAGGTTGGGTCTGTCGGCCATAGTGGGCTGGCGGGTCTGTCCGATCACTCTGTCTATCTCTGCCTGGACTTTGTCTAGGAGATGAAATAAAAGTTTTTTATTGATCAATTAAAGTGACTTATTTTATCTTCGACATGTTCTTTCTCCGGTATCGTTTTAATCTGTTCCCTATGCTGCTGCTGTGGGAGGCTTTTTTTGAACACCCACCCTGGATATGAGGGTTGTTGATGAGGTAGATGAGGCCCCACTGCAGGGTCTTTGAAGTGGTTTCACTACCAGCCAGGAACAGATCCAGACAACACAAAACCAGGTTGCGATCATCAAAGCCCAGTTCACTGTTTTTATTATTCTGTCGGGCAGAGTGGAGGGACCAAAATACAGTCAAGTTTACAAAAAGGTTCATTTTTAGTTTTTGTATATATACATATATATGCTTATTGTGAACACCATACTTTCTCTATCAGGAAGGTGTCGATGTAATCTCGTGGGTTGCTTGGATCCAGATCCAACTTGTGCCTCTCTATCTCTCCCCTGATAGATGCCTCCAAACATTTGGAGTTGCTGAAGATGCCATTGTGAGGCCCCGGTAGGTGTTTCATCAGTGCTGGGAAGGCATCATACAGCTGTGTGGAGAGAAAGCATGGCACTTATTCAGTGCTGGTGTTTTTATCTCCCTTTAGTTCACAATATTTTCCGATCTTTCAGTTGACTGACAAATCTGCTAAATGTTCAATTACAATTTTATATTAGATAAAAATTGCTTGTCTAAATCACTAACACTTTTCTATTGGCTTTCTTGAATGTCTATGGATGCATTACTAAGTTAACATGCTGGTTCTGATCCCCCTTATGAATAGCCATGCAGTTGTTAGTTGTGTCTGAGCTTCTTTGCATCTTACTAGAGCCCATATGGAGCCTTCCAGATAGGCCATCTCAGTCAGATTCTTCAGCATGCTCTGGAAGTTGTGGTCACTGTAGTCAAACCGTTTCCCAAACACTATCTGGCAGATGATGTTGGCCACAGCATTGTTTAAAAGGGGCACAGGGTCAAACGGCTCACCTGAACAGAAGAAATGTCCCCAGTTACCGTACACTATGTGTGTGTTTTTGCTTTTCATTCTTTTACGTGTTCTCTTTTCTGTTTTGGCCAACCTTTCTCCTTCACCATCGACTCTTGCAGATGACGACTCTCTTCACAGATGCTCTGCTCCATGGAGCTCTTGGCCAGGCCAAAAGTACGTAACGTGGCCATGGCAAAACGCCGCTGTCTCCGCCACACGTTCCCATTACTGAAGAAAAGACCCGCTGAGACAAGAGAGAAACCACACAACATTACTCGAGCTTTCACTCTTTTTACTGCTCTACTGTATAGGTGAATTCTGTGCAATTTACCTGAGTTCCCTGAATAAATCCTGGTCACCATCGGGCTATAAGGCCGGTCCACAAAGTTGTCAGCCTGTGTCACTATGGCTTCCTTCACCATCTTCCATCCAGACACAAATACTGTTTTGTGTCTCCCCAGGCGTATGCAGAACACATTCCCATAAACATCAGCTAGCTGTGGATGCAGGAGCAGACAATATGTGGCCTGATGTCCAGCATGTGACTCTGATAAGATGCATATTTCAGTGACTTAGTATAAACAGGGTTTAAGCATTGTTTCCTACCATAAACATTTTTTAAATATTGTGTTTAGAGCAGAGTATCACATGAAGTTATGTAATTTTCCCGTGTTAGAGGACCTAACGTTAACAATTAGCTCTGCTCCACACTAAAGTAGGGGAGTTTTACTGAATAGCTTTTTTTAAATACATTTTGCAGAAGTTTTCGTTGAATTTTCAGAATAAAAAAAAACAGCACTTCACAATAGGAAAATATGATCATGTTGTCTTACCTTGGTCAGGTAAATGTGAGGCTGTTTAGATTCAATGCTGAAGACGTTTCCTAAAAGAGGGAGAGCCGGTGGTCCTGGTGGAAAGTTAGGGGGATCCTTTTTGTTCAGAGAATACACTAGGAAGAGAACAGTAAAACTAAGAAGCAGCAATCCCTTTACATCAAGCCACAGAAACAAATACCACAGCCACATTGTGAAGCAGAGGAAGGGCGCGAGTGCAGCTGTCGCATTAAAAATGTGCAGCTTTGCACGGAGAATGACTTGCTTACTGCGAATTTGTGTGCTGAACATATGTTTGCCAAGTGCAATTTGATTTGTCTTGAGTGATAGTGACGCCTACTGTTTAAATTGTGAATTACACTGAACGAAGCCCTAGGTCCATAGATGAAGACAGATTTTCTCGTAAAACTGCCATCAGAAGCTACACAAGAAAAGAGTTTGTGTGTAGAAGAGAATCAGTGATTTTAATAGCTCCGAAATTTCTGTGCAGAAGGCGCACATGGTATGTGCTTATATATAATTTTGAACATATAATATTTTGTGTTTATATTTCATACTGACAGGGAATGTGTTTGGAATTAAGTCATTTCACTTTTTCACGGTGTTTGCTGGCAAAACGGACATTATAGTTATCAGGTTACACTGTGTGAAACAAAGTAATCAGATTACTCTCTAGTGAACAGGTTAAACAGTGTGAAACGAAGTAATCAGATTCCTCTGTATAATAGGAGTACTGTAACTATCAGGTTACACAGCGTGAAACAGAGTAATCAGATTACTCTCTAGTTACAAAGTTCACACAGAGTAACCTGATAACTAGAGCGTAATCTGACATTAGGCAAAGCTAATAGTCTCTGTTGGGTTCAATAATGGTGATAAATGATTCGAAGTACATATTTTATGAAGTCTTTAATATTTTACTACATTTAAGTAGAAGTAGCATTCCTTGAGATTCAACAAAAATACATAGTGATAACCGCGTTTGATGTATACAACAAGTGTCTGAAAAGGACCTTAAGAAGTGGATTCATAATTCGGCAGAACAAATGATGGAGGCTACCTGCCGAGATTTACATCCGCCTCTTTTCTCAGCATAAATGAGCGTTACCTCCCGCGAGGTGCATGCAATTATTGCCAGGCATGCAGAATTCGGCACAGCATCTGACTAGAGCTGTGTGTCTTGCGGAGTGTTGTGAGGTGCTGCCCTTCCCCCTCTGCAGCCAGGTGATTGTCATGGCTGTCTCCACTCTGCAAACAGGGTGGAGAGCATAAAGACTGGGAGAGAAGTGGATTCAGCATCAGTGAACCAGTTAGTGTGGTGTGTGCAGTTGGCACTCATGACATCAAAAGTCTGCATGGAGTGCCGCATGTGTGCTTGTCTTGCTCCCTCTGTGGAGGGAAGGTGCTAGTGTGTTTCCCACTTAAGCTGCTGGTCTTTGGTAAAAAATTAGACGACCCTAGTGAAAGTTTATGTAATCTATATGTAATGTCACTAACATTTCACTACACAGCGTGCACTGCTGTCTACCGTCATTCCTAATATTTCCACTAGATGGTGCCAACGTAAGACTTTGCAGGAATTATTCAGTTAAAGGGATATAATAACAGATAAACTATTAGTCATTTTGATGATTTATTTGTTACTTCCAATGGCTTGTAAATAGCTTTTTATATACAGTCTATGGTAGTCAGTCATTAATGTATATTATATTTTGTTTTTTACCAATGACTTAAACCAGGTTTACACAAATAAATACAGAATTTATTAGTCATTAATAAATGTTTTTAAGTACTTATTAACTAATAGCTTATACATAGCATAACTGAGCTATAAATTAAACTTAAGCAATAAAACTTGTTATAAGATGTAACCTATATTTATGAAATCTTTATACGTCATTCATAACTACAAGGACAAAGGGAAATCTTATAAACAGTACCATTAATACATTTTAATGTAAATATAACTATTACACAGAATTAAATGTACAGGCATAAATAATAACGTTGAGACTGAGTTTGAGAAAGTGTTTTGCTTAGTCTTGTTACACATTGGTTAGATGAAAAATGGTTCAGTGAGATTTTGCTTAATTCAGCGAGCCTTAGCGCACACCTTGAAGGGGTGTGGTACACGTGTGATTCCAGTAACTCCTTCTGCACTCAACTCAACTCCATCAGGAACAAAGAAAGAGAATTTCTGCAGTAAAGCGACCAAAAACAGGAACAGCTCCATCTTGGCGAGGCCTTCTCCGAGACACACACGTTTCCCTGAAGAGTCAACAAACACATAAGCTCAGGATAAAACTTGCGTATATATTCTAGTTCAGGTTATGTACAAGATTGAGGGGATTTTGGTTTACCTGCAGAGAAAGCCAGGAGAGCCTCTCTCTTCACAAACCTTCCTTCAGCATCCAGGAAGTGTCCAGGGTTGAAGGTGTCTGGAGTCTCCCATTCAGTCTTGTCGAACAGCACAGAAGTCAGAATGGGCATTACGGACGTACCCTAAAAAACAGGATCCAGAGGTTTGACACCAAGCAATGCTGCAACAACACTTTTTCATTCCTCAAAAATGTTCAAGTGATAATACTGTTAAGACTGTGTACTAAATGCACCTTGGGTATGAAGTAACCACCCAGTGTCGTGTCCTTGGCGGCCATTCTGAGTCCATTGAGAGGAACAATGTTTGCCATCCTCTGGATCTCGTGGATGACAGCATCAGTGTAGGGCAGGTTGGATCTGTCTGCCATAGTGGGCTGGCGGTTCTGTCCGATCACTCTGTCTATCTCTGCCTGGACTTTGTCTAAATACAAGAAAATTGCAAGAGTTAAACTTTTACCAACAAGTGGAGATAACCTAGGAATTACATCTTAATGCCTTGGTATGTCGATTTTTACAAAGGATGAAGGCTGTGCATTTTGTCCCCCATCAATTACATTTAGTTTGCTTTAAGAGGGGATCATGTGGCCAGTGTGGATGAGAGGAATTAAAACAATGAACAAAAACATGGGTGTGTGAGTATTCTTTTTTATCTGCTGTGCAGTGTTGCTCTGTTGGTTGTTTGGTCCCCCACGGAAATATCTCAACAACTATTGGATGGATTGCCATAAAAATGTGTTACAGATGTTTATGGTCTCCAAGAGATGAACCCTAATAACTTTGGTGATATCCCAGCATAAAAAAGCAATAGCTTATATTACCATGCTAACATGCTAAACTTAGATGGTAAAAATGTAATCGTAAGAAATGTCATTAGCATTTGGCTCAAAGCAACGCTGTCCTCAGCGGTGCCTCAGAGCTGTTATCATGGCTGTAGACTCTTTTAGTTGCTTGTTGTTTCACAGTTAACTCAGCTCAGTGTTGGGTATAGCACGTCACCTACCCTGGATATCTGGGTTTTTGATGAGGAAAACCAAAGCCCACAGCAAAGTGGTGGAGGTTGTCTCCGTTCCAGCCAGGAACAGATCCAGAGAGCACATCGCCAGATTGGTCTCAGTGAAGCCCAGCTCAGATCCTTTGTGCTATTTAGAAATTCAGAGAACAGACAGCAGTGAATGACTGGCAGATTGACAGGAAGGGCTACACAATTTTGGGTGTGCAATGCAACTGTTCACATACATTCTCCATTTCAGTTAAGAAAGCATCTATGTAGTCCCGGGGATTGTTGTGGTCCAGGTCCTTCTTGTGCCATTTTATCTCCTGACTGATGAAGTCTAGGAGGGTGTTGAAGTGGCTGAACATTTTGTTGTGAGGACCTGGCAAGTGCTTCATCACTCTGGGGAATGACTGATAAAGCTACTCAGAAGAAAGCAATAGATGAGCAAGCAATCCCATCAGAATGCTGTCTCTCTGACAGTGGTCAAACTTATAATGGATAAATCCATGGATGCATATTACTAACTTACCATACCCCAGACTGAGCCCTCCAGCCACATAACTTCAGACAGATACTTCAGCATGATCTGGAAGTTGTGGTCACTGTATTCAAACCGTTTCCCCATAACCAACTGGCAAATGATGTTGGACACAGCATTGTTAAAATGGCCTGCTGGGTTGAAAGGTTCACCTGGACGAGAGAAGTCCACTATTTAGACATTGCTATAATGCTGAAGAGCTGATGATTATGAGCATATTTTGTGCACCACCTCTCTCCTTCTCTATCTCCTCCAGCAGGTGTCGGACCTCCTCACAGATACTCTGCTCCAAGGTGCTTTTGCCCAGGCCAAAGTTACGTAAAGTAGACAAGGCAAAGCGTCGCTGTCTCTTCCATATTTCACCATTGCTCATAAAAAGACCATCTAGACACAAGTATGCAGAGGCAATATAAAACGGCTGATCGGAATTAATTTCTGCGCAGCATGAAACGAGAAAGAGAGAGATTTGTACACCTGATTTTCCTGAGTAAAACCTGTCAGCGACAGCATTGTATGGTCGATCCACAAAGTTCTCGGCTTGTGTTACTATGGCTTCCCTCACCATCTTGTACCCAGACACAAGCACCATCTTGTCATTGCCAAGGCAGACGCTGAACACATTCCCATAGACGCTAGCCAGCTGTGAACAATACATCAGTGAAAAAACACTGATGAAACAACACACTACTGCATCATATGAATTTCATTTTTAAATTGTTTGAAAACAAACCTCACCAATGCACAACAACAAACTGTCCACATATGCCACTATCCTGATAACAATTGAACAATAGTGTTTGTGAAGAATCTTGAACTGACTGTATATTGAAAATATTCACAGTAAAAAAATATATTAAAAAACAAAAGTAGAAAGCAAACGTTTTCATGAATCTAAAATCCATAAATCAAAGCCATTAGCAATTATATCACATTTTCATATTGATCTTACAAGCTCTGTAAGGTGAAACCTCCTGTGGATTAAACTTTACCTTGGTAAAATAAATGTGTGGATGTTTATTGTCCATACTGAAGAAATTCCCCACAAGGGGAAGAGCCCGCGGTCCTGGAGGATAATTTGGAGGATTCCTGTTTTTGAGGAAGTCTGCTATTAGGAGGAAAATAAAAATAAACAGGAATACCCCCTTGATGTCAAAACCTGGCAAAAACATATAAAGCCACATTGTTGAAGAGAATTAAACCAGCAGCAGGAAGAAAGGTCTGTGCTTTTCAAGATTTTCTTCTTCCTCACTTGAACCTGTGGTTTTATAATGCCTTTTTACACACTTACTGATTTAACCCTGTTCTAGTCCAAACTGCACAAATATTACAAGACAGATAAGCAATTTGGTCAGTACAAAGGTGCTTGTGACAGTGTTCTTACATAACCAGCTACAGACACGCCTACATTTCCCTGTACAAGACCTCTGAGACAAGACCTTTTGAAGCTCACTGCAACTACCTCAATGTTGTCACCTTTTCAACCAAACCCTGACTTCTCTAAATTGTGGTGAATCGATTTCTGTAAATTTCCAACTCTGGGATAGTTATATTATGGGTAATGTAAAGCTGCTTGCACACTGCTCAGACAGCGCCCAACTAACACCAGCATTCTAAAGTTGGCAGCAAAACCAACTGCCAGTTCCACACTGACCAGACAGAAACTGACCAGCAAGTGGAAAACTACAGTACTTTTTACTGGTTGTATGGGGCCTTTAAAGGTATTTCAACAGGTGAAAAGGACTGGGTGAGCTATAATCAGATATACCTCAAATATAACGCTCATAACTGAAATCAATTCATTTTGAGAACCTTTCAATCTCAACGTAGGAGGTGGATAGCATAGGCTATATGGGCTGTATGGGCTATTTAAATGTATTTCAACTGGTTATAAGGACTGATTGAGCTATACTCTGTCTTTTTGGCAAAATGCAAAACTACAAAACTCGATATTTCAACTGGTTATAAAAGGACTGGATTGGTTGGCAGAAAGCAATGTCATAAGGATAATTGCAAGAGAGACATTTCCTTTGTTTTATTTATAGCCTAACCCAGCTGTGAACCATGTTAATTAAAGAAGGCAGTCTCTATTCCAAATATAATCAAGGATAATAAACTGAACCTACTGAACACAAATTTCAATCGGCAACAATAGGCTAATTTTATTGCTTATAATAATGTTTTGTCAGTCCTAATTAACTGCAAACACTTCAACTGTGATTACATAACTGCAAACACTTCAACTGTTATTATTCCTTTACAAGATAAATTAGCGTTTCACAAAGACATAGCCTACCTTTGCTGCTACGGACATAAAGTGATGCTTATTTACACGTTATGACTGTTTTACCCAGATAAAAGCAGCTGTAGATGTAGGCTATAGATAGCCTACTGGGCGTTAACACCCTGCGCACGCTCCCACGGAGGGCAATCAGTTTTCAGCAGATGATCACTTTTCGGCACGACACCTGTCACTTCCTCGAGCACGTTTTAATTCAGATTGTGCACGAAGAGGAAGGGCTGTTCACAGACAGGTCCGTTGTCAATGAGAGAAAGGAGCGCATAATGGACACTTTGCTAACCTACATTAACATCAAAGAAAGTCGTGCATGCTGACGTTCCGCGTGTGAGTCTAGGCTTAGTTGTCTAGGGAACACGCTCA